TCAGCAACCCTCAGTTTGTTTCCTATGCTTAAGAGTCTCTTGGGACACCTGGGTGGCTCAGTTCATTAAGTGGCTGGCTTCGGCTCAGGTCGTGATCTTACGGTCCTGGGATCGAGTCCCACATCTGGCTCATGGCTCAACAGAGAGCCTGCTTCTCCCTCCCACTCTGCCCGTGGCTCTCCCTGGTTGTACTCTCCCTCTCTGTTAAATGAATAAATAAAATCTTTTAAAAAATAGTCTCTTACGCCAAAAGACTTCCAAGGGCTAAATGTAGCATGGTATCCTGGGTGGGACTCTGAAAAATAAAAAGAGCATAAGGCGAAATGAAGGAAGTCGGGACTTTAGGTTACACTAATGCATCAATATGGCTTCATTAATCATGACACCTGTACCAGAGGATCGTAGGGTGTTTGTTAATACTGGGAGGAACGATGTGCTAAGCCACTGTTCTGGCATTTTCACACTTAATGGACACAACCTCTCTGGGAATGATTTTAGTTCAGTCCCAGCTCTCCATTCCTCTCCTCTTCTTTTTTTTTAATTTTTTAAAAATTTTTTAAATTTATTTTCAGCGTAACAGTATTCATTGTTTTTGCACCACACCCAGTGCTCCATGCAATACGTGCCCTCTCCAATACCCACCACCTGGTTCCCCCAACCTCCCACTCCCCGCCCCTTCAAAACCCTCAGATTGTTTTTCAGAGTCCATAGTCTCTCATGGTTCACCTCCCCTTCCAATTTCCCTCAACTCCCTTCTCCTCTCTAACTCCCCTTGTCCTCCATGCTATTTGTTATGCTCCACAAATAAGTGAAACCATATGATAATTGACTCTCTCTGCTTGACTTATTTCACTCAGCATAATCTCTTCCAGTCCCGTCCATGTTGCTACAAAAGTTGGGTATTCATCCTTTCTGATGGAGGCATCATACTCCATAGTGTATATGGACCACATCTTCCTTATCCGTTCGTCCGTTGAAGGGCATCTTGGTTCTTTCCACAGTTTGGCGACCGTGGCCATTGCTGCTATAAACATTGGGGTACAGATGGCCCTTCTTTTCACTACATCTGTATCTTTGGGGTAAATACCCAGTAGTGCAATTGCAGGGTCATAGGGAAGCTCTATTTTTAATTTCTTGAGGAATCTCCACACTGTTCTCCAAAGTGGCCGCACCAACTTGCATTCCCACCAACAGTGTAAGAGGGTTCCCCTTTCTCCACATCCCCTCCAACACATGTTGTTTCCTGTCTTGCTAATTTTGGCCATTCTAAGTGGTGTAAGGTGGTATCTCAATGTGGTTTTAATTTGAATCTCCCTGATGGCTAGTGTTGGTGAACATTTTTTCATGTGTCTGATAGCCATTTGTATGTCTTCATTGGAGAACTGTCTTTTCATATCTTCTGCCCATTTTTTTAAATATGATTGTCTGTTTTGTGTGTGTTGAGTTTGAGGAGTTCTTTATAGATCCTGGATATCAACCTTTTGTCTGTACTGTCATTTGCAAATATCTTCTCCCATTCCGTGGGTTGCCTCTTTGTTTTCTTGACTGTTTCCTTTGCTGTGCAGAAGCTTTTGATCCTGATGAAGTCCCAAAAATTCATTTTCGCTTTTGTTTCCTTTGCCTTTGGAGACATATCTTGAAAGAAGTTGCTGTGGCTGATACCGAAGAGGTTACTGCCTATATTCTCCTCTAGGATTCTGATGGATTCCTGTCTCATGTTGAGGTCTTTTACCCATTTTGAGTTTATCTTTGTGTACGGTGTAAGAGAATGGTCGAGTTTCATTCCTCTCCTTTTCTTGACAGAGGTATTTCCGGACCTCACTTTGCTCTTGGAAAAGGGCAGAGGCAAGAGTTCAAGAGACACCACCTTGAAAATCAAGAGTCTTTTCAGTGAAGAAACTTGAAAAAGTTTAAAGAAAATTTTAAGTAAAGAAACTTAAAGTTGAAGTTTTTGCTCTTCCCTGATTTCTGACTATATTGATGTCAAGGGGTTAATGTGGTTTTCTTCTTGTTGTTGTTGAATTCTATAGTTGTGAAAGAATGTACTTGAAGATTTAAGTTGATAAAGACACCCGCTACCCTGGAAGTCTGGTGAATTTTTTCCTCCAGCTTTAGTGAGATACGAACATCCATTGACAGATGAATACATGAAGAAAATGTGGAGTAGACGAAGCACTATTATTCAGCCATATAGAAACAGGAGTTCCTGGGTTTTTGACAGCATGAATGGACCTCGAGGACTTTATGCTAAATGAAACCAGTCAGACAGAGAAAGACAAATCCTATATAATTTCATGTAAGTGGAATCTAAAAATATCAACTCACAGAAACACAGAGTGAAATGGCGGTGGCGGGGGCTGGGAGGGTGGAAGAAAGGGGCTGGTCAAAGGGCACAAACTCTTAGTCATAAGACCAACACGTTCTGGGGATCTCCTGTGGAGCGTGCTGAGTAGAGCCAACAATGCTGTATTATATCCTTGAAAGTCCCTATCAGAGAAGAGCCTTAATATTTTCACCATAACAACAAAATGGTAATTACATGACGTGAAGGATTTGTTAACTACCCTTATCATGATAAACATTTTGCAATATATATGTGAATTGCATGAGCACATGTACACCGTAAATTACACCCAGTGTTAATTTTATCACAGAGCTGGGGAAAAAAGTAAATTGAAGAAGTAAACGTTGGCATCGTCACCATGTGCCATCCTCCCACTCAGGACACAGCATTTATTCAATAAAGCCTTTTCTAAGCTACCTCGTGAACAGTTGCATCGGTTTCTTTTTTTAAGGTTCTGCCTGCCTCTTGTTACGTTCATTGAAAGGAATGGTATGATTTTGTTGATACTATAAGTAGGATTTTATTCTATTTTATTTTTTATTTAACTTTGAGTTAGTTAACATACAGCGCAATATTGGTTTCTGGAGTGGGATTCAGTGATTCATCCCTTACATACAACACCCAGGACTCATCACAGCAAGTGCCCTCCTTAATGCCCATCCCCCATCCAGCCCATCCCCCACCCACCACCCTCCATCAACCCCCAGTTTTTTCTCTGTTGTTAAGAGTCTCTTAGGGTTTGTTTCCCTCTCTCCTTTCTCCCCCCTTCCCATATAGTCATCTGTTTTCTTTCTTAAATTCCACACGTGAGTGAGATCATATGGTATTTGTCTTTCTCTGACTGATAGAAGCGGGATTTAAAAACTTTTATTTGGGTTATTCCTCGTTTTAGTAAAAATTGGATTTATCACGTACTAACTGTGACTGTGGGTGGTTACTGAGCCTCTCATGGCTTCATGCTTTTGACAAAATTAAAGACATGAGCTGGTACCCACTTGGGAGGGTTCTCATGAGAAATAAATAAGACAGTACATATAACACAGTTAGTATGGGATCTGGAACAGAGAAGTAGTTGATACGTAAAGTAATCTTACTGCCAGTGGTACATCGTGTGCGTGTCAGGCCAGAAGTTTGGGCATGGCTCTTGCCTACTTTCCAGGATGTCCTGGTACCACGGGTCCAGCGCAGTGCAGACAGTCCCCTGGAGAACAAGAGGGAGCCCTGGCTTGCAGGCTTCTGGAAGGGGCAAAGGACACTCTGTTCTCTTGCCCCGAGGTTCTGCCCCCCACATCCGCTCGCAGTGCTAACCCTGCACAAGAAGGAGAGTTGTCTCAGGGCCAGAACGTCAGGGCTAGACTGCACTTCCCGAGTAATTACCTCCAACTCCCTCAAACTGAATAGACAACGGAAGTTCAGAGAGGGCAAGATGTTTGTCTGAGGTCGTGCGACAAGTGGGGAGGCTGGGCTGGGGCTAGAACACAGGTCCCCTGACTCCTCAGTCTGTGCTCTTCAACTCCAACCCAAATTCTCTTTCTGTGAGAGCTGTCTTGTTCAAGGGCAGTGGGGCAGGTGGGTCAAGAGCAGAGCCATGAGGTCACTCGGGATTGCCTAACACACACCCTCCTCGATCTGCACCATTCGAATCTGCCTGTCCCCACCCTGTGCATCTCCAGAGGACACTATTCCCCACCCACATTAAAGGATCAAGGACTTGGTGTGTCCTGTCTCCTTGTTCGCATCTTAAAATAGAAAGCCAGGGGCGGGGTATGGCTTAACCCAAAGGAATGGATTGTTAATGGAGGCATCTCAGCAGGAACAGGTGAAATGCTTCCAAAGCGGGGATTTCCCTGCTTCTTTCTATGGCCTCTTGGGAGGCTGTGGCTCCCTGGGAAACATGAAAGGAAAGGCAGGAGGGAGCTACAGACTTAGCCACTAGGGTTGGCTGGTCACACCAGGAGGGCTGGTGATAACCAGATCAGGACATGGGGTTGATGGGAGAGGAATGAAACTGCCTGCAGTTAGTGCCACGTTTTGTTTCTTATTTCTCTGGTCTTAGGCCAAAGACAAAATTCCCCAGGGAAATGCAGACTCCGGGTCTGGGGTCGACTAGTGGATTTCTAGTATTAAGCCCTAGGAATGGACCTCTTGTAATCGCCTTCTGCTCTCCTTCACCAGAGAGAGGGAGTCCTAGCTCCCCACCCATCTCTCTGGGGCTTCCAGAAGCACAGACGTCATGGGCGCCAGAAGCAAATGGAGCAGAAAGTCATCTTTTATTGCAAGGTCAACAACGGAAGCAACCAAGCCCGGACTTGGGCATCCTGGGCGGGAGGCAGAATGTTCAGGGAGGGATAGGCCTGTGGGACAGGGGTCCGGACCGGCAGCTCTGGGGACGTCACAGGTGCAACAAGGACAGGCTCCACCTGGCTGGGAGAGAAGAGAACCAGAGAGGTGACTCGGCAGCTCAAAGCAGTCAGAGATAGCGGGGGGCAGGGTCACGTCCAGGTGAGAGCCCCCTCTGGACTCAGTCATGGGCTCTGAGACCCTCAGTCTCTCAGTGACCTCCCCACAACCTCTCTCTCACTCAGCTGGGATCATTCCCCATTGCTCAGCCTTCTCTGTGCCCTCAGGGTCCCCTCTTCCTCCCCTGGTTCTCACCTCACTGGGGATCCAAGCAGGCCAGCCCACAAGCGCCCTTACAGCACTTCTTGGCCCCTGGGCACTGGGTGTCTCTCAGACAGCGGTTCGGGGGGTTCAACATGGCGCACTGGATCAGAATGCGGGGGCAGGAGCCAGGCTTAGTGGACACGGGAACTTTGGCTTTGACTGGATCTTGAGCTCTAACGGGATCTTGTCCTTTGACCGGAACACGACCTTGCCCTTTAGGAGGAACAGTTGAAAGAACAAATGTCATCACATGTAGACCCCACGTGCCTGCTTCACTATCTGGTCTTTCCCCCGCGGCCAGCCACTGCTCGCTGCACTGTTTCCCAAACCTCTGCCTGGGGACAGGCGGGGTCATCTGGGCTAGCTGGGGTCAGTGCTCCAGGAAGGCTGTGCCCCGGGCTTTGGGGGGAGGATCTCTAGGATCATGGTTCCCTTGGGTGTCCGTCTCTCCCCTCAACCCTCCATGATAAGTCCTCTCAGGAGGAGAGGCCAGACTGGGATGACTTGCAGAGGAAAAGGACACACGGTGCTCTTGAGGGAGGGAGAAGAGCCTGAGACACCCACCAGGAGACCCGAGCTCCCTCACGGAGGCTCTGAAGACTGTCTGGACGATCAGTGTCCTTCCTTGTAAACGGGGGGTCTTCACACCACATGACTTCTGAGGTGTCATCAGTGTGGAACCTCCTTTTAGAGGCTGATTCCCCAGGTCCCTTCAGGGGGCAGACAGGCAGGGCCAGACCCCACACCCAGGCCCAGCTTCCTGGGGCTTCTCACTTCACTGCACATTCTGCGCAGGTATCCACACTTAAGGCCACGACCACGTAGCAACACGCCTTCCAGCAATCATCCCGCTATCTCAGTCCTGGTGTGGAAAGCATTGCTGGTGCTACTGGACCACTTTCTGCTCTCTCCGGATACAGCGGGAGCAGCCACAGACCACAGTGTGCGAGCTATGGGCATCGGGGTGGCTCAGTCGGTTAACTGACTGCCTTGGGCTCAGGTTGTGATCCCAGGGTCCCAAGATCGAGTCCCAAGATCCAGTCCCGCATTGGGTTCCCTGCTCAGTGGGGAGTCTGCTTCTCCCTCGGCCCCTCCCCACTTTCCTGCTCGCTCACTCTCTCTCTCTCACTCTCTCTAATAAATAAATAAAAAGTTGTTTTTTTTTTAAATGTGACATCCAGTCCTGCCCGTGGCCTTTCAAGAGTGCTCCTTGGCAGGGCCCAACCCAGCCTCACCCAGGCCACTTGCCTACTCACCTCTGCTGACGGCTGCCTGTGCCACCAGGATCCCCAGGAAAAGGAACACTGCCAGGACCAAGAAGCTGTTGGGTTTCATGTTGTCTCAGGTGTGTGGCTAAGAGCTGAAGCTGACTCGTTTTATGCGGCCCAGCGTGGCCTGGTGCCAGGGGGGTGGGTCTGTGGTTTGCTATGGGACACGACCTACAGTTCCTAATTCTACCAGGAAGGATCCACCCCTATCCTGGGAGGCAACTTGGGGCTGTCCCCGAGGATTGTTCACAGAGAAAAATGGCAGACACTGGGTTACATCACCTCTGGTAACCCCAAGAGCTGTCCCACTTTCTCACGGAGAAGCAGGACTGGCTGGTTGGTCCAGCATTCCTGATTTCAAAGCCGGGCGTTCTCCCATTACTCCCTGTTCCCGCAGACCCTCCCAGGCCTGCCCGAACAGTTCACCCCTCCCAGCATCAAGTTGGGCTTCGCTTTCCTGTCCCTTGGCCCTGAGGAAAACTCTCAAAGACAAATTTGTCTTGAAACTCTAATGACACATCACTACAAGGGTCATCTCTGAGATGTACCACCTAAGTAATCGGGAAGGTGGGATTCTAGATTTTACATAACAACACTAATTAAAATAATGCTGGGGAAAAGTTCAAGCCTCAAGAGAAAATATTTTGAATTATAGGCTTGTGTATAAGGTTCAAGTCTAAGGAACACTAATAGATTGTCTAGGAGTGCTTATATATGTGGTACAGCTCATTTACTTGGGTGGAGGAAAATGAGGAAGCCATCAGCATGAAATCTAGGATAGCCGTTAACTCTGGAACGGAGGCAAGAAACATTTTGGATGGGTGAGAAGGACTCGGGTTGGTTTAAGTTTTTGGTTCTTGGTAACATTCTAGTACTTGGGTTGATTGGTGATTTCCCTTGGGGTGTGTGTGTGTGTGTATGTGTGTGTGTCTGTGTGTGTGTGTGTATTTCCAAGGCTGCAGGGCAAGTCATTTATGAATGACCTTCACTTTCCAGAAACCCAAACTGCTCCTCTCTTGGGTGGTTTTCAGCCTTTCACTGTTACAAAGTAGCCCCATGTGGCTTTTTGCATTAACTTGTAAGCTAGAGTCCCAGAAGTAGGTTTGCTGGTACAAAGATTAAACGCATTTGAAAATTTTTTCCAGCTTATTATGGTATGATTGACAAACAAATTAATATATATATATGTACATATACATATATATATATTTAATGTGTACAATATGATGTTTTACTATAAATGCACATTATGAAAAGATGGCCACCATCAAGTTAATAAACATACTCATCAACTCATATAGTTACCATCTTTCAAATGCTTTTGAAATTTTTGTACTCTTGTCTTATGTTCCTTGATGGGGGTTATACCATTTTGTATCCACACAAGCAGTGAATGAAAGCACCTGTGTGCATCCAGGCTCTGGTACAGACAGTGTATCTAATTTGGAGTTTTTTTACCAATCTGATAGGTGGGAAGTCATGCCTCGCTGATGTTTTTAGTAAGCATTTCTCTCATTTTCATTTTTGCATATTTTAGAAGCCACTTACATTTTTCTTTTTTTTAAAGATTTTATTTATTTATTTGACAGAGATCACAAGTAGGCAGAGAAGCAGGCATAGAGAGAGGAAGAAGCAGGCTCCCTGCCGAGCAGAGAGCCTGATGTGGGGCTCGATCCCAGGACCTGGGATCATGACCTGAGCCGAAGGGAGAGGCTTTAACCCACTGAACCACCCAAGTGCCCCTACATTTCTTTTTCTGAAGGCTTCTTTTCCTTTGCCCACTTTTTAATATATTTATCAACCTTTTTCTTCTTAATTTTTAAGAACTCTTTATAAATTATGGAGAAAGGTCGTTTGTGGTAGGGTTTGCAAATAAAAAATTATACGTCATTCTAAGACCTGCTCAGAACAACTCGGGGTAGCCTCCTTTTCTCATCTTATTGGACATTACCTCCTAATTTTTGGCTACTTTGCACATAGTGAGGACATGGTTTTAATATGGTTATATTAAACAAATCTGGCTATATTTTATTCAGAAGGCTGCACATCCTATTAATACAGGGTCACGGAAGAGTTGATGGGAGAATAGAGGTTAAGAAGATAGAGGGATAAAAATGCAAATAAGAAGAAACAAAAAAGTATTGTTTCTCCAAAAAGCTTATCATGTCTGGTGTGATCCTGTTACATTTATAAATAAATTGGGAAAATAATGAATATCACTAAATCTCTGTGTACTGAATTCTAGAAATATTCATTAAATCTTACCAACAGGAAAACACGTTAGGGGATAATATATGTGCTTGATAATACTTCAGTAGAAACACATAAAAATGCTATAAATGCCTTTATTTATGTAGGAGAAAGGAGAAAGGTATGAAAGAGTACACACTACGCTCTTAACATTGCTTTCATCACAGTGACGGGAATGGGAAAAAAAAAAACAGATGAGTAGGTTTTCCTTTACACATACTAGTTTCTAATTTTTTCACTTGTCACAACAAAAAGTCACTATTATGATCTGAAATATCAAAGAAAATTATAATCAGTAACTAGAAAACAGAACTCAAGGAATCATGTGAATGAAGAAAACAGTATAATTGACAGTTATACCTAAATAAACAATGAGATATATGTAACCAGTAGTCTCAGTGTTGAGAAGGAATGCTTAAAATAGAAGTGTCATAAACGGGGCGCCTGGGTGGCTCAGGTCATGATCCCAGGGTTCTGGGATCAAGAACTGCATCAGGCTCTGCTCAGCAGGAAGCCTGTTTCCTCCTCTTTCTCTGCCTGATTCTCTGCCTACTTGTGATCTCCGTCTGTCAAATAAATAAATAAAATCTTAAAAAAAAAGTGTCATAATGTAAAAATGTAATAGTGTGTGTCAGGAATAACTCAGATGTCGTTGAAAGAAATCACTCTAAGTAGTTCAAGCAGAAAAAGAATCCAGCTATAGTATGAACACGTGTGATTGTAGGAACTCGAATCCCATCTGCGGTCTGGATGTGGAAGAGTCTGGGACAGGTAGTCACTGGGTTGCCAGCCGCTGCAGGAAGACGTGTTGGGAGCAAGTGAATCCACGTTGATGAAGAAACTGCACAGAGCACACGGCCGTCTACTCTTTTCACGCCACTGTTCACGGCCCCTGGTCCATCCTCTACGTACACTTCCAAACATCAGCAAATACTCACCTCCCAGAAGGAAAGTGCCCACCTGTAGAGAGAAAATAAATAAGAAAATGCACAAGGGAGAAGAAAGAGGTGTATTTAGGAGAGAAGTTATCATCTTGAAATGCTGCAGCAATATCTCTCTGGCCATGGCTCATGGGAGGAGCCCTCTTGTTTCAGAGGAGTACCTAAGAATCAAGACAAGTCCATGTATTGGAGGAACCACCCATTATTGTAGCAACAGAGGAGGGAGCCCTTGAGCTAAGAAAGCAAGAAACCCAGTCTAACTTCCCACCCCTCCTGCTCAGGTAAGATACTCCCTTCAATAGCTGGTCCGTGAAAATCTACTGATTTTAAAATAAGGAAGAAATGCGAAAATCACATAAGCCATGCAAAAATACTATTTTTTTAAAAGCAGAAATGAGTAACGACACTTAAAAACATCTAAAGCAGGATTTTTTCAATCTTCAGTAAAATGTCACCGCAAACCTGAAAAAAAAAAAAGATATTCTAAAATAAATGTCTAAAATCACTGAAGTCAATTGAAACCATAGGAACCACCATAAAGCAGAAATATAGAAATTCAAAGAAGAAATAGCAAGACAACAGGAAGATGTGAAGTGAAACCTGATAGAGCTCAGGGGAGAAATGGAAGACAAGGACAAAAACATTCCAGAAATAAAGACCAAGTAAGGACAAAAGGAAAGAAAATATGAAAAGCAAAGAACCACAAACTGAAAATGAAAAATAGCTTGAAAATGATTTCAGAGAAAGTCTTCAGTATAAAAAGTCAATAGAGATGTAAGAGACACATAAATCAAGTTGCACAAAGAAGAAAACCAAAACACACAAAAGAAGAAAACCAAAGGAGCAAAATTAAAGAATTGTTTAAAACCCTAATCAAGGAAAATATTTCTGAACTAAAAGCAGGCTCCAATCTACATATTGGAAGTTGACACCACGGTAAACACAAGACACATGTGAATAAAATTTCGGGCTGTAAAGATAGACACAGAAGCTTCCAAGAAGTCAACTTCCCTCAAAAAACAAAAACAAAAACAAAATTGGAAGAAAAAATCAGATGGAATGAGAGCCAGAAAACAGCAGAGCAAAACTTAAAATCACTCAAGGAAAAAAAGTACACACTGATGATTTTTTTTTTCCCACAACTAATTTGTCCTGGAAGTAAAAAGACTACAGGAATCAGGGGTGCCTGTGTGGCTCAGTGGGTTAAGCCTCTGCCTTCGGCTCAGGTCATGATCCCAGGGTCCTGGGATAGAGCCCCTCGTCGGGCTCTCTGCTCAGCGGGGAGCCTGCTTCCCACTCCCCCGCCTGCCTCTCTGCCTACTTGTGATCTCTCTCTCTCTCTGTCAAATAAAAAAATTAAAAAAAAAAAAAAGAAGATACATAAAAAGCCGGTGAGCCCATGAAAAGATACTCAACATCATTAGCCAATGCGAAAAGGCAAACCCAAATCACAAGATACCACTTCACAAGCCTTAGTGTGACTATACAATTCTTTATCTTAATGGGAAAAGACAAGTGTTGGCGAGAAGGTGGAGAAGTTGGAGCTGTTGTACTCCAGGTGAGAATAAAATGGTGCAGCATAACCAATTCCAGAGGTCTGAGAGGTAACCATGGACCTGGCCGACCACTGCGTTTCATCTGCCACATGAGAGCGCTCTGTGAGGACTGGCAGAGGTGGCTGTTCTCTCTAAGGCACAGGAACGAACACAGGGAGTTGAGGACACTGAAGTCTTCACATTGGCCCTTGGACATCTGGAAATCCAACCTCCACATCTGCAGGCAGGTCCCCACCAGCTACACCCACTCTCACCCTGACCTCCTCTCTGCCGGTCCTGCCACCTCACCAGACACATGCTGAGTCCCACTCTGTGGTCCC